CCCCATCGCTTTGGCTGTCGCCGCCCCGCCCCTCCACTCCCCTCCCTGCGTCGTCGCGCGCGCCGCAGACGAGGCCGTGACAAATGCGTGCTCTCGGGCGCCGCGTTGCGCTCCCGAGGGTCTCCCCCTCCCCTGCGCCCGGCGGCGCGCTATTAACGCAACGGCGGACGCGGTTAATAATCCACTCGTCAGCAGACACGTGACGCCAGGCCTACTGCAGCCGCTGCAGCCGCCGCGCAACTCCCAGTCCCACTTTTTATTAAATCGTAGCGGTGCAATGGTTGGAGGATACGGGACACTCGTTTAACGATGCGACAGTGCTCAGAAGATATCAACGAGGTCGGGTAAAAAAAACAAACGATCTAGCTACAGGGCAACCCTGGACTGTGAAATTCGGGATGGAGGCAAAATTGTGTTGTAGCTTATGTCGTTCATGTAATAATATTGCCATCTGAGCCATCTGAGCACTAAATGGGACTAAAACGCAGTTTTGATGAGACTGCAAAATTCTATCTCTTATCCTTAAAAGCAAATACACACAATAAGTTTCGCCAAGTACTTTGCAGTGCAATCTTCTTATTTCCATTCACCTGTATATTTTGGTTCTCTTTTTGAAATTAACATGTTATTGACATACATTACGGAATGCTCAACAACAATGTTTCGCAGTTGCACACGTGACCTAAAGGTGTGCATACGCCAGTACATTTCTTTAATTTTTAGTGTGCAAATTAATTTATGCAGGAATCATTTTCTAAATTGAAATAAACTAATTGTGCCACAATGGTACAACAATTGTATATTCTCTAGTAAAATTGATAACCGGAAAGTAATTGTTGGTCTTAACAAATGGTAGCAGAAACACGAACAGTTCTTGGGTAACGCTCCAAACACACATTTTCAATATACCAATATATAATTGAAATATTTAAGAGTTCTCCTTGTAACAGAATTCAACTCGAACATTTATCTTAATAAAAAAAATCCTGGATCAACTGGATATTTGAAACGTAAAACTTTGATACCAGTTGAACTAATAGTAACATAAACATCAAATGTATTATAATTACTATGTTATGGGGCGAAACTCTAAATATTGTGATACTTCACCTTCTATTCTGATCATTAGGAAGCGAATTTCTATTATTTTGTGTATTTTTGCCCTTTGCTTCAGTGCATGGCTAGGTGAAATTTCTTGACATTTTATTAGAATACGTGTGTATATATATATATATATATATATATATATATATATATATATATATATATGGTGCATATTCGTATAATTCTATCCGCATATTTTGCATGTTTCGTTAAAATAGATACTTACCTATAAAACATTTTATCTTTTCATAGAATCCTTGATTCAAAGGAGCTTATCATAGTTTGCGTTTTACATTTTTTTTCCTATAGGTGATAAAATACTTGTGCGAATGTAGAATATTTCTTGATATATTTATTGATATATGTATTTTTAAATCAGTCAGAAGAAACAAAAGACATACGAAGTACTTCACTAAGGTGAATATTTACGTATATTAAGTTGTGGGCAACATTTATTTGAAAATCGCTATTTGAACACATATATGAACGTAAACGTTGGAAGTCGAACATAGCGTTCATTTCTTTCTCTAGCATTACTCACAGTTTTGCTTTCTCCGTATTCACTTGAAATTCTTCTAGTTTA